CTTCCGGATTTATGTTTTTACTAAGTACACTTGGAAGTTGAATGGTTTTAAAACAGAGAGGGATTTATTTCAAAGGTTAAATTTGATCTTTTACGAGTTAAAGGTTTTTTACTGGTTTCTTTACCCTGTTTACAAAGTGTACTCAGTTTCCTGTTTTAATGTCCTTTTATGAACTCTACACTGCTCTGGATTTCTGTTCCTACTTTGTTCCATAGATATTTTTATTCAATGTTTTGTTACATCATTTGTTCAGTGTGTATTTATTATAATCAATTCATTTTTCGATGTCTCAATATCATTCCTATCAATTCTTAACATATTTAGAATCGTATACTGGCTTTTGTCGATCTATTAGATTTCCTTATTTGAAAGACGATAAACTTTTAAGCAATTAAATTAATCTTAAATTTTCATTTTCCTAATTTCTCCTTCAGAATAAATTTTTTATTCCAGTTAGTACAAAATTATTCACAAATCATAGATCCAATTTGGATTCTTTTAAATCTTTAGTTCATTTTTCGGTGACTGGATTTCATTTTGATTAAATTCTAAATTATTTGGAATCATTCATTAGTCGTTGCCAATCAATTGGATTAGCTCATGTTAAAGTTGATGAACTTACAAGCAATTAAATGAGTCTTGTATTTTTTGTTTTCGCAATTTTCCAACAGTTTCTTATTCAGGATTTTGAAAACTAATGTTTTTGCAGATTATGTATGCTTAATAAGTATTTTCTTCTTAGGTAACATTTAAACTAAAATGAAAATTAGTTCGAACTGGAATAGTAAAGTCACTCACATAGTAAAAATTTTATTGATAAATCGGTATGTATCTTTAAAACTTTCCACTAATCGAATCATGAAAATAAAAAACAAACAAACTAAAAATAAATAAATAAGTAAATAAATAGTATTTGTAAACAACTTTAATCTAAACTACAGTAGATAAAATACAGTTTCCTTTAGATTTTCATACTTATGCTTATATTAAAAAATTAATTCCGAGAATGAACTTGTAAGATATACAAAATCTTAGTGTTTCGAGATTTATTTTCTCTAAACATGATTTTATGTATTTAAAATAGCTAAATTGCAATTAGATTAAGTTTGATAGTATTTTTCTTATTGCAGTTTAATATTGTACATTTTTAAGTTTTTACTGTATGTTTTTTATACTTTATTTTATATCTCTCTTCGTTGAAAAATGTGCCTTGTATGGTAAGACAATTTAGCAACCAATAAAAATTATTGATTTAAAACTAACTGAAAGTATTTTGCACCAAAGTAGTCATTACCAGATTAAAATTATTAATAGTACATTATAAGGCAAACTGATNATAGAATTCGCAGGTAAGCGTCTCATACAACAACGCCCCCTATAGTTCGTTGCGATCGCGAATAGTTAAATTGCAATTAGATTAATTTTGATAGTACTTTTCTTATTGTAGCTTAATATTGTACATTTTTAAGTTTTTACTGTATGTTTTTTAGACTTTATTTTATATCTCTCTTCGTTGAAAAATGTGTCTTGTATGGTAAGACAATTTAGCAACCAAAATCTTCATAACCAAAAACAATTATTGATTTAAAACTAACTGAAAGTATTTTGTACCAAAGTAGTCATTACCAGATTAAAATTATTAATAGTACATTATAAGGCAAACTGATTTAATAATCGAAAAATTCATTTCCTATTTAAGTTCACAAAAAAGGATTTTATATCATATAGTACCATATTAATTTATAATTTTTTATAATTATCAATAGTACGTTTTACGATGAGCTGATTTAGTTACCAAATATTTCACATTGTAGTTAAACTTGCCAAAAATATTGCCTGCTACAGTAGTACAGCATGTTTTTAATTACAATTATTGCTAGTACACTTTACATCAAGCGTTTTTTGATAACAAATAGTTCATATGATCACTAAACTCCCCAAAAAGTTTGCATTCCGCTGTAGTAAAACATTTTTAATAAAAATTATTAGCTTTATTGCTTGTACACTTTTAGGCAAGCCTACTTAGTAACCAAAAAGTTCAAACCTTAGCTAAACTTGCCAAAAGTATCATATACTTCTGTAGTACCACACTATTTTCATTCAAAATAATTGTTGGCACATTTAGTATTCTTAGCTGTAAAAGCTTTATTTAAAGTTGAATGAAATATAATGTCCCATTTTAATTTTTTAAGTGACTTGTATTAGATGTTTATTTACATGCTTATGCCGTTTCTCAAAAATTATAAGACAAACAATTTTGTCATCTTTTTATTTTATACCTTCATTCTATTTTATGATTAATTTATCGAATTTGAAAATGAATTAAATGCTTATGTCTTTTTAACAGATTCTACAAAAAATGTACATGATTTTTATTTAAATTATAAAGAAGTAAGAGATTTAATTCGTAGATCAAACTTACATTCTGAAAAATAAATAAATAAGTTTAGCTTTAACAAATATTTAAATTAATATATATTGAATTAATATTTAAGTCAATTGCCTTGCTATTCCACCTTTTCAAAAATATTTAGAGGAGTATGAGAAAAAATTGGCGATTCTGTCATTTCCATGTTCTTATGTCTCTTCGGAGTTAATTTATGCAATTCTTCCTCTGGCACACTTGAATTCAAAATTCTTGGAAAGAACAACTTGCATATGTGCATTTGTAATTTTAAGTACTAGATAAGTTTATCATTATAAGTTTAGTATTGAAGCAAAATTTACCCTGACATCATTTCGGTTTTTGTTTCATATTGTTTTGCATTAAAATATCTACGTTTCATTTGGCATTCTGGTTTGTGTTCAGTAGTTATTTATGCTACTGTATTTATTTTGTTATTTTCATTTACATTGCTATTTGATTGTGGCAGAATTCATAGATCTTCTCTGTAAAAATATATTTTCATGGAATATACAGAATTAACAATTCTTTTACTCCTCGGGGGGCTGTTGCTCATGTTCTGGCTACTTATAAATGTATCTGACAGCCCTCTTGGGGAACTATTTTGATTGCTAAACATTAACACTAAAATGATAATAGCTCTATTAGATCCAGCGACTACTTCTTCCATAGGTAACCATTGCGTTTCCAATGTGGTAAAAAAAAGAGGGAAGAATTAGTACACATGCGATTGACTTAGTGTTCTATAACAAAACTTCAAAAGCTGTCTATTTTATAAATGCTGATGATATAGAAAAAAATTGACCTTTTGTACCTATCAAATATTGTTGCTAGTGCTTAAGAAGCCAGAATAAAATAACCTCGCTTCCACATTTGGCGTTCCCAGGGCAACATTGTGGTACAATACAAAGATTCTGTTGTATCACAATGGCTAAGAGGTTATATGAAAAAGTGGAAGTTTGATTAATTTAGTATTATTAAAACAATCAGAGAGCCTAATAAATACGAATTCTTGTTGCTATATGTAAGTAAAGTTGCTATATGTTGCCATCTATATGTAAGTAAAATTAGCAGATTGGCTGACCTATAACTGAAAAGACTGATAAATATCTTTAAATTGTTAGAGTAGCCATTGAAATGTATTAAATCTGCTTAAAATTACTGAAAGTAAAAAGGGAATTGGCAACCTATTAAAAAGCAATTAACACTAAACAATTGGCAATCATTTGAACTAGCATGAATCAAATATAAAAATTCTTTATTTATGAAACATTTGTATCCATTTGACTCCACTTTTCCTCCTTTTCAGTATTTGCGGGAAATCAAATTTTTTCTTAGAGCCATTAGATCAATTTTATCAGAAGGATTCCTTTTATATGAGGTGCTTATGAATTAAATTATTGGTAAATGAGTTTAAAAAATTGGTAATTACTTAAGTACATTTTAATGTTTTTATTTAATAAACTTATTTGAGACACAAGGTCAGTGTATTCTTGTTGGCTTTCGATTTAAAACTGCTGAATTTCTGTCAATATTATTTTTCGCCATTTAGTTGCTTTCGCGTTTCAAGATCAAATTAAGTCAACAAATTAAGTTTTTACCACGCTATTTAAATTTTTTTTCGTGGACTCCGATGTTCAGAAGTAATAATTTCTGCAATACATTTAAATTATTGAATTATTTGTATTCTAAAGTTAGCTTTCATATTGACTAATATCGTTTTTATGCTATATTTAAAAAGCTATATTTAAATTATGCTTAAATTGGCAAGGAATATAATAAATGTTTCAAAGCATAAATAAAAAGTGATAATTTTGGTACTTTTTTTTAAATATTTTATTTTATATTGTCATTACGTATTTTTGTTAAATTATCAAAAAGTATTAATTTATTTCTTGAACATAATATTAATTTGACACAATAAATGCGTGTAGTAACCTGCACATGGAGAATCTTCAAAATATTGGCAAATTATATTGTAATATCTTCTACTACTATTGAGTTCTTATAAATCTCTTATATGCAGAGACATTTTTAAGAGCAGTATAATAAATGTTTTAAGCTCAACATTTTTACTTTAGCAAAAAAACGATTTCTTAATAATATTCAAGTGTGCCCCACCAAAAAAATGCCTAAACTGAACTTAAATTGTTATATCTTCTAGTACTACAAGGTTTTTAGAAAACTGTTACAAGAGAAAAATTTTTTTAAGAGCAGTTTAATAATTGTTTTAAGCTCAACAATTTTATATTAGGAAAAACAATTTTTTAATTATACTCAAGGGGTACAGATAGGGTATTACATGGGAATTAAGGGTTTTATATCAATGACTTACAATATACCCATTTTTTCTTAGAAGGAAATATTTATTTTTCTTCATTTTATTAGTCTTGACCCTCCCTTCCCTCTCCTTCTCAATCGTATAGGAATGTACTAAGATATTTTCTCCTTTCTTAACATTTTTCGTAACTAATTATCAAAAATATATTTTAAAATTTCCATGACGCTTACTTTTAGAACTACGTTTAATGTAGTTCCATATAGCTTCCTAACTTGAAAGTTTTTAATCTGTATGAAAATCAAGATAGAAACTAACCTACTTCCTTCTCCTATGACTCTCCACACGCTAGTGGTGAAAACATGCGAAGTGTTGCCATATGTAGAGAGATCTTCTCTACGCCACCTGTAGTCCATTTCGATCACCAATAGCAAAAAAGACATCTTAGAGTTAAGCACTTCTTACTCACTGGATCAAAACACTGTGGTGGACAAATTTTGCCACCTTTCCCCTCCAACTGCAACAACCAATCCTGCAAGAGACATATTTTTATGATACAACTTCTGCACAACAATTACTCTGCAAAAATTATTAATGTATGTCAGCACCGAAAACGGTGGCAACTATTTTAAACCAAAGTGAAACACTATACATAACTCTACGTACTTAAGCGTTTTGTTACCCAAAGAGCCAAGAATAATTTCTAAAATATTGAAACACCAAATATGTCCTTTTAAACTACTTGGTTGTTAAAGTAGCTGCCACCATTTTGGTATTAAACACGAAAATTTAAAATTTCAGTAATAAATGATACATATAGCTGCCAATTCTCCTGGATTTACCAGTCGACTACTGGATTTTGCCATTTTTCTCCTGGTCCCCTTTTTAAATTAGCAAATATAAAATAAAAATCATTAATTTAAATTGCATGTACACACTAATTCTTAAAATAAAGTTTGCTTTCGAATCAAACTTATATACTAGTCAATTGATGTTTAATAATCGTAGTGGTAGTTACGTCACAATACTCCCCCACCAGAATTTTATCACAGATAGAATTCGATGAATGAATGCCACTAGTTGCATATTTTGCGAAAGACAGGAAGAGCTGTATAAAGATAAAGATCACAGGAATTTGAGCACTTGTGGAAAGAGTTGTATCAAGTTCACAGAGTTCTGATCGTTTGTAGTGAGAGCTGTATTAAGTTTACGGTTGTGTATGCAGTCTCTCCTGTGTTGCTATTAGTAGTCGAGTGTGTGTAAATGAGACAGAAAAGCAATTGCGCGAGGAGGACGATGACGCAATCACAAATAGCAAGTCAACCGTTCAGTGTGGATCATCCATCGATGTGGTCGTTGAATTCGATGTAACTAAGTTCATATTACGTCCTTAGGTCAATGTGGGGAACGTAATATCGACAATGCTAACCTTCATCTATTAAAAAGTATCTCTAGATTGAGTAGAGTTATTATTTTTGATTGAATCTATTATTATCGAATATTATTTTTCATATCAAAATATTTTAATAATTAAGTATTAAATTTTTTTAAACATTAAAAACAAACTGGATAACTGGGTTTTGCCTTTCAAAAAAAAATTATTATTACTTTCTTTTTAGTTATATTGATTAAAATAGTTCATTAAATTACGATTTATCAAAAGCAGTGGTTGGAAAATCTACGTTTTTTTGCAGTTAACTACAATTACTTCTTTTTTAAATGTAACGACTACAAACTACTTCCGAAATGTAGTCACTACTTCGCTACTTTTAGAAGACAAATTTAACTGGAGAACTTAATTTTCACCAACATTCCAAATTATTTTGAATAAAAGATTAGCTTGATTAATCATGAGGATATATTAAGAAGTTTTAATTCATGTTTAAATGAAATAGTTTTTAATTCTAATGCACTTTTTACGAATTTGTTCTTTCAACTTTCAAACTTGTGATGCCATAATTGGCATTACATATTTCCTAACTTTTAAAATACCTTTAATTACATAAACTTATTTTTTCTAATCATTATTAATCGAATTATCATCATCATCATAGTTGGCCAGCCAGCCCAATGTGAGCCAATGCCTTCCTCAGAAGATTTCTCCCTGATGACTTCCGATTTATCTTTGATCTCCAATTCCCTTCATTGATTGCAAGAAAATCAGACTCCATCAAGTTAGCCCATCTCAAACGTGGCCTTTCCCGCTTTCTTTTTCCAGTGGGTCTAAAAAGCAGTATCTTTTTTATTGTATTGTCGTCACTCATTCGAATCACGTGGGAGATCCAATTCAGTCTATTTATTTTTATGTATTTAATAATATCAGGTTGTTTATAAATCTTGTACAGTTCAAAGTTAAATCTCCTCCTCCAGTTATTGTTTTAATTTACTCCACCAAGTATACCCCGCAAAATCTTTCTCTCAAATATTGTGATACAATTTTCCTCCAGTTTTGTCATTGTCCAAGCTTCAGAAGCGAATTTCAAGACTGGCCGGACAAGAGTTTTGTACATTAAGAACTTTGTTTTTCTAGAAAGAAACCTAGATTTAATAAATCTTCTTAGCCCATAGACAGCCCATTCGCCAGATAGAGTGGGTTTTTTTATTTCAGGAGTAATTCTGTTCTCAATGGTAATAATTGATCCTAAGTAAGTAAAACTCCTTATTGTTTCAAATCTATAAGAATTTATTTTAAAATAGGGGTCCGGGACTCTGTTTCTCGAGAATAACATATATTTTGTTTTTTCTACATTTATGACCAAGTCCATTTGCCTTGCACCCACCTCAAGGGCAAGAAATGACTCTTTCAGCGCAGGAAGGGAACGAGCAATTATATCAACATCATCAGCATATGCAAGTAGTTGTAC